GATGAAACTGCCCGTTCAGGCGTCGGCGGAGGGACTGGATGCAGCTTTCGTCGGCGTCCCTCTGGACACCGGCACGTCCAACCGCCCGGGAGCCAGGTAAGGGCTAACCGCAGTGCCAGGGCAGCCGGTGCTTTGCTCCGGGCAGCCCTGCGCTTCTCCTGGTGCTGGCATCGGGAACTCCGCCCGGCAGCTTTTCCCAGTCGTGCTGTCTCCCCAGGTTTGGCCCACGTCAGATCCGGGCCGAGTCGGCAATGGTGAGGAGGTACAACGCCAGCACCGGGGCCGCGCCTTTCGATTCCCTGCGGGTGGCTGACATCGGGGACGTGAACGTGAACCTCTACAACCTGCCCGACAGCTGCCGCCTCATCCGAGAGTCCTTCCAGAAGATAGTGGCCTCCGGTTGTGTGCCCCTCACCTTGGGTAAGGGCCCTGCGCCTCCCTGCCCTGACGCCTCCCTCCTGCCCTGACGCCGCCTCCCTGCTCCTCCGAACTCCCTCTCCTCCCCTGGGCGTTCAGTCTGAACGTGGTAGGAGCCAAACGATGGCTCCGTCCCTCGCACGGGGTGTTGTGCCACGTGGTGGGTACATGCACAGGCCCTGCTGAAATCGCTGCCCTCGGCGGTCAGAAACGAGGGTTTGGTGCTCCCTGGCAAGCGCAGCCAGAAGCTCAACCGCGGATACGCAGCGCGTTACCCCTTTTCCCTGTCCTGTTGCAGGTGGAGATCACACCATAACGTACCCCATCCTGCAGGCCGTGGTAGCAAAGTAAGTTTCTGACCTGGAGACGCAGGGTAAGGGCCTGAGAAGGAGCCTCAGGAAGGCTCCTGGTTTGCTGTCTAGGACGTAGGAAGGGCCACGGCGCATCAGACAGCGACTGACTTGGTCCCCCTGTCTTGTCCAGGCATGGTCCCGTGGGGCTGGTGCACGTGGATGCTCACACGGACACCGGAGACACGGCCCTGGGGGAGAAGATCTACCACGGGACCCCGTTTCGGCGCTGCGTGGAGGAAGGGCTGCTGGACTGCAGCCGCGTGGTCCAGATCGGCATCCGTGGCTCCTCCTACGAGCCTGATCCTTACAAGTACTGCCGGGACCAGGTCAGCTCAGCCATGGGCACCGCCGAGCGCTGCCTCCTTCCCCTGCCGTTACTATTTCCGTCGCCGCCGCAGGAGCAGAAATGCTTTTCCTGCATCGTGTCCCAGCGGCTTGGCCCGCTGACCGGGCACGCCAGGCCCTCAGCTGAGCGGCGAGTAAGAAAGGGGGCAAGCGCGGGCTCTTCAAGGTGTTCCTCTGCAGCTTGGCCCTGGGATGAGGGACGGTCCTGGCAGAGATCCCCGTCAGCACAGGGGATGCTGGGCTTTGCCCGCCTGTCCCTGAGTGGGCGCCGGCGTGTCTGTGTGCCCGCAGGGATTCCGGGTGGTGCCGGCTGAAGAGTGTTGGAGGAAGTCGCTGGCCCCACTGATGGGGGAGGTGAGGACGCAGATGGGGGACAAGCCAGCCTACATCAGTTTCGATATCGATGGACTAGACCCCGCGTACGCCCCGGGGACGGGGACGCCAGAGATCGCCGGGCTGACACCTGCACAGGTAAGGGGGATGCGCCTTCATTTCCCAGTGGGGAGGGGACAGTTTTTGCTGCTGGTAAAAGGAGGTCGTGCCGCTGGCGTGGCAAAGCAAAGGGCTGGGAGTGCTGGGGCACGTTTCACTGCAGTAATGCGGAAGGGAAGCGTTGAATGGATGTCACTTGGCCTGTCCAGGTTGGGTGTCCTTAGCTGCCTGTGGGGAAGGTGGAGTGCCGACTGGTCCGTCGGGCCAGACAACCTGTTCCTTGATCCCAAATCTGTTTTTTTCTTTTATTCCTAGGCTTTGGAGATTATTCGTGGCTGTAAAGGACTGAACATAGTGGGCTGTGACCTCGTAGAAGTTGCGCCCGCGTACGATGTCTCTGGTGAGTCTAAAGAGCAAGACAGGGTGCCCGGCAACGGCGGT